CAGCATCCTGTTGAGCACGGGGCTGCGCTCGGCCAGCACGGCGCGGTGCGCGTCCAGCTCCACGCCGTCCACCACCAGCTTCACGTCGCAGGAGCGGCTGCCCTCCAGGCGGGCCCGGTTGAGACGTTGGATCAGGCCCGACGCGGGGCGGCCGTCGACGATGTCGTACACCCTGAAGAGGATGGTCACCTTCTCGAAGGGATGGTCGAAGCTCAGCGTACCCACTGATGACACATTTGTTAAACCCGTTTGGAGGATGGCGCGAGCTTCTACTTCCTTAGTTTGCGGAGGTTTTGAGTCTTTGGTTTGGATGCTCCGGCGGTCACTCACGACGAGCTTGCAGTGGACCAGGACGGGCTCGGCAGGCTCGACGCTGCAGCCCAACGACAGCGAGAGGGTAGTGGTTGTGGTAGTGGGTGGCTGCGCATTACCATAGTATTGATTTTGAGATCTCTGAGGAGCAGGTTGAGGCGGAGTGACGGTGAGGACTGGTGTGATGGCGACACGACCCTGCTCGGTAATAAGAGGCTCCAGGGTGGGTTGGTACTGGCTCGTGACCTTCTGCAGGAGGGCTGTCTGCTCGGCGACCAGGAGCAGCTGCATGGTAAGGGGACGTGGATGGCCGACTGAAACAAGGTATAGAATGGAATTCAGATGTTGAAATGTAGTTCAAAATATTACAAGGCCTGTCTGTATATTTCACATTTTATGTTGCACCCCCACATGACCACAAACGGGACTCAACATGTTAACATGTTCCCCATCATGATCATGATAGGGCTTCCAAGCAAATTCAATTGTGTATTATAATTCTTCATCCTGATATGTTTGCACAATGGTAAGAACACCAAAATATTCGAGAGATTCTAATGTTTTTTTCAGAAATACTTTGTAGCTGCACAAAGATAGCGCAGAATATGGGTAATTGATTATTCAACAAATCCTCATTTTTACATAACTTGCACGGTTCAAGGAAAGGTTTCAAAAATCTGATTAAATATGGTGAGAAGCATTAAGTTAAAATGATCCTTTAAGTGACCACCCATTCTGATACCACTCAAGAGTGCAAAAGAAATAAGATAGAGAGCTAAAAGGAAAAAAAAAAATGAAGCTGCAAATTAGAGCCCATTCCTTTAACTGAATATTTTTCTAGGACAGTGTACTTTAGAGACATGTTAAACATGTTTAAATTGATGAATTCACCATAGCAGCTCAAAATTGATGTAAACCTTTGAGGACTGGTTGTCTGAAGTTGTCAGAGCATGCCGGGGGTGCCTCGGCATATGTCCACATGGGTCTATTTTGCTACCCGGGTGTAGACTCGTCGCACAGAAAGTGATAAACCAGAATAAGAATGAACAAAATCCCGACTCACTCTTTGACAGCCTAGGCGACCCTTCACATACAAAATTGAACAAAAGGAAGCAAGAGGTTAGACCCCGTCGTTCAGCAAAGGATTTGTCTAGTGGACTCACGGTTCGGTTGACCTGTAGACAGGGGGGATCCCCGCGCCATGCCGCGTCCCCTACCCCTCTCCTCCTCCCCACCCCCACCGCGCATGGCGCGCATTTCCCGCGCCTTTATGGAAACGTAAACAAACAGTGAAAGTCGGTGTCACGATCGGCGTTTCTGCCAAATACCGATAATACCTACTCATACAATTATTGATCATAGGATTTTAACCAGAATTTTAGGGTGGACATCGCCGCTTTTCGTTATTAATCGCAAGGTATAGTGCTTACCTGTTTCCGGTCCGGAATATTGAATTGTTCCATTCCGGTTATTGTTGTAGGAGGTTATGCTCCTGTGGCTAAATTTTTTACACGCACAATTAAGTTGTAAGTTATTTTTTGAGGCCGATTAAATGATGCCCTTGATGTAAAAAACTTGGCTCACTGTCAGCTTTGTAGAAAAGGTGTTGAATAGGTACACTCCTCCAATCCATGCAGTATGTTAAATACTGTTGTAGGTCCTAATGCAAATGGGTGAACTGCCAGTGTTTTATCACATATCATATATTTTACTCTATATTTTTCTCGTGGAACAGAAAACTTTATTTCTTTCTGACTCGGGTGCAAACCGAGTGGTTCTATTTGCGTAATCCCCCAAACAATCAATCAATGTGCGTTGCAGATAATTTGCAGCTGCCCCTTCGTACTTAATGTTTAATCCAGTACCAAAATTAGTTATTTGAAAGACCATAGTCATTTAGAGACGCATGGGGAGAGAGGCATTTAAAAGTGTATTGTATGAGTTAATTATATGTAATTAAAAGTTGATGAGCGCTAAAAGTACCGTTTAATATGATTGCAGAAACTCGGCCCAGAAACGTTCTTGACATGAGCAAGAGAAGTCTATGGAGTCATTTTACCCAAAAGAATAGGTGAGTTGACATGACAGTAACCGCCAAGGCTGGTCCAAATTGTCTCCACTATGAGGAGCTTCCTTTCGTGTTCATGAAAGGGTGGTTTTTGATGTTTTTTGCGGTGCCTTTGTTCTTTGTTGTCAATTTCAATCATCCTCTGTCAAAATTCAGGCTGATTTGTTATCACTGAAAATGTCTTTTAAAAATCTTGGCAATTTGGAAAATTCCTGGAATTGGTTTGGATTGGTCGGGCAGACTCCCTTTTCACATGCTCTGTCTAAATGTCATGGTGCCGACCCACTACAGCAGAGTTCTTAGCCAGTGCGCCTTAGGCAGCCTACCCACCCATAGTTAGGGAGACCAGCTCTTAAAACTCGTTTCTGTAAACAGGAGTGGTTTCTGACAGAATCAAAGGTAGTTTTGTGGTCCCTGGTACACCCCTATCTATTCAAGTACTCCTCCGTCAGAAAACCGGACCCTTGCCTTTGCAAATTTTGCCAAAAATGAAAAATTTGAAAATCGCTGGAAATAGTCGGGATTGGTCAGACTGAATCCTCTTTCAATCTCTGCGTCGAAGTTTCGCGCCACCGGGCAATTTAAGTGAGATACGCCTGTTTTTGGGCCAGTTCGCCTGCGAGGTAGGCAGCCCATCGTACGCTGACCGCCAGATTCAAAAGACCACCCTAAAAACTCAAGTTTATCTCTAAAGGGGTGGTTTCTAACGGAACCAAATGAACTTTTGTGGTCACCTGG